AAAAGTTACCATTGAGTCTAGAAGTCCTGGACAAGGTGCCTATAGACTCTCTGAAACATGTCCATGGAAATGGTAAATCATTTTTTGATGCACTCCATGTCATCCTCATCACAGCAGCTGTGTGTGCATTTTAACCCACCACAAATGCATAGCCACTGGAATTAGGTCAGCCTCAGTGCAGAGGGTTAAACTAGATTAAATTTTACACATTTGCTGCAGGCTGAACATTCTTGTGCTGACAGTAGTTGTGTATATAAGATATTATTTTGGCAACAATGACTTTATGTGAGCACAAAAAGACCTTCAGAAATCTCTAATGTCTTCCTAAGACAGGGACTCTCAAGCTAATTAAAGGGGTGTACATCCTAAAGACCAACAGGCTCCCCAGTAGAAAATGTCTTGTCATTTTGGAAGTTTTTTTTTTTTTTTTTACTTTAGATTTTCATGCCATGGTTTCAAAGTCAGTTTGAAACTGATTATTCTCTCACTACTATTTTTCCATCTCTTTCTCCTCTGTATTTTCAAGAGCTATTTTGATCTCCAGTCTTTCCCTTTCCTGCTGTCAGCTCTCTCTTTAAGTCTTCTGTCTTGTAAGTTCTGACAGACTGAATCCCAGCTTTCGTTACCCAGGATTAGTATTGCCAGCTAGACTGCCTCCCGTGTGCAGTGATGACCTGGAAGAAGGCATGTGCCTACACAGGGTGAAGCTCTCCAATGGCACAAAGATGGGTGCAGGATTAGTCAATAGAATGAGGAAATAACTATGCCCAGTGTTGTATTCCATTTTATTTAAATGGTATGCTCTGTCTCACCCCTCCAAAATAAAGCACTGAATAGAGCACCAGCCAAGGAAAGAGGAGAAGAGCAAGCAGGAAATTGAGCAAGAGAAAAAAATGTTAGATTAAAATCTGGGGTAAGTAAACAGAATGGAAAGATCAGGGAATTTGGATGCAAACTGGCAAGGAAAGCCCCATTCACTGGGAGGAATTCAGAAACTCAAGGGCGTTGCTTGAGCACTTGGGCTGGGAAGAGCCCAAAATCCCAGAATAGGATTGACAGCATGGGATAGAGGAGGAAGGAGGTTGAGAGACCACAAGCTAGACAATAGGAACAACAATGAGAACATCATGTTCAACACTGTGCTTCCTCTGTGGAATTAAACACCTCCCTTCTGCTCTGGGACAGAGTTCTGGCATCCATGACCAGAACTGCTGCTTGCACGTCGGCAGCTGTGAGTCCCGGGCATGGATGCTGGAACATGCTGTTGGTTAACAAAACAATTTTATCCAAGTAAACCTGAAACCAAATACTTCATTTTCATTTCTGCTCAGTAGAAAAACAATTCTATTTTTCATGAAGTTGTTATTTTTACCATAAAATGCTTTGATTTTGCCAAGAAAATATTTGTTACTAAATAGCTTCAACTGGAAGTTACCACTTTGCTAGGGCCCAAATTGTTATTACAAACTTCTATCTGGCAAGTTATAGGTTTGTTAGGTCATAGCTACAAATATATACAGACTTCAAACCTGTATTTTTCTTGAGAATCAAATCTCCTAACATAGCCCTTTCTTTCAGCGTTACACAATGCATGATTTTCAGGCAGAAGATGAGAGCAAGTATTAGCTGTTTCTTGTATGACAGATATCTAATTTTGAGAATCTAGGTTAACCCAGATTAGAATGGACAACAAAGTACAACATACATTACTATGACCTGGCTGGCTTTGCATTCCTTGAGTGTCCAAGTGTGTTATCTGTTATCTGTTGAGACACACTAGGATTTTCCCAGTCTCTATAACTATATTAGCAGGTTCTTCCCTGTGTTAAATCTATCCTGAGTTAAAGCATTTCCAGGCTGGGGTCAGTGGGTTTTGTATGCTTGACTGGAGAAAATTAATGGCTAAGACTAACACAGTTGAGAGCCTGGATTCAGTGGGCAGTGAAGGGTGGGCACAAGGAACAGACTCATGGATGTCAGGCGTGTTTCAAGAAAGCTGTATCACAATTTTCATAACACTAAAGGAACATTTGTTCTAGTTGCATGAGTCCTTGCATTAAAATGTCACAAATAATCTGCAGGTCTCAGTTTCTTTCCAAAGAAAAGAAGGATAATATTGTGTTGTACAGCTTTTGGGAGTATGTGCACTTTATAGTTCACCCTGTTTCCTGGGCCTTAGTTGCTTCTGGTTTTAATCAGTACCTCCAATTCTTGGCTGTCACACTCTATAAATACTGATTTAAAGCTATGTCACATCAAATAAAGTAAAAATAACTTGTTCAAGATCATACTTAATCAAACAAAAGAAATTAGCTATAGGTTGGCTATTTTAGACAGGTAATAATATCACTGATTTTTTTTTCCTTTACCATGGACATTAAAAGAAATGCTATTTTTAAAGACTTTCCTCAAAACTGCTGCATTCATTATTGATTTTCTTTCTACAGTTGTTTAAACATCAATATCTAACCAACCACTTAATGAAAATGCAGTTTACTGGAAATTATTTTTATCTCACTATTCTTAAGTAATTTATTTTATATCTCAGTTGCATGGAAAGGTAAGAGTTCAGGGAGATAAAAAAAAAAAAGCAAATCTCTGTGTTCTTGAATGTCTAACCTTTAGCATTAGAATTAGTCAAAATGTCTTTTATCTTCTTCTTTTGCTTTCCCTTCTCCATTGATATGAACAACAAGATTCAGATGTACTGCAGGATGTTTTGAAATGAACCAATAACAAGTGTTTATTCAAGAAGAGGCAATGTCTAAAATCCATTCTGCAACAGCTAAATGTTACCAAATATATTTAAAAAATGGTTGTTTCCTTCCTTTCCACTAGCTTTGGACTAACCTTTTACATAAATGTTTTGCTGCATGTTCTTCTGCACAGGAAAGAAATCATTCCTGAAGAGCTTCTTCCTCTGAACCTTGCAGTTACATATTGGCATTTAGACTTACAAGTCCTAATTAGCACAACTGATTTTCCTCTGGGAGTTAATATAAATGATAGCAGAAAGAAAAAGTGCTGCTGCATCTCAGCCTTGCAGTCACTCTATCACAGACCTATCTTAGTAAATCCTTTAATTATGGACAGGCTGTCAGGTTGCTTAATGCTTCCAAGTAGTCAAAAGTGCAGAGCATTGAGCATCAGGATGGCTCCTTCCTCCCAGATCACTCCTTTCCCTGGTAGGAGTTACAACCCAAAGCCATCCCTCTCAGCTCCAGCCATGGTCCACAATAGCTTGTGGTCTTTTTTTTTATCAAAAAATCTTGAAAGATGCACTACATCCAGTTTAGACTAATCTCTTTGGGTTGATATATGTGCTGTGTGCATACAGGAGTTGTGGGCACCAGGATTAAAACAATTAGAAAGGTTCCTTGAACATTACTATTTATATCAATTCACAATAAACTTGGTAGACTACCTCAACACACACAGAAAAGAGGAGAAAGGGGAGGAGAAGGAAGAGACAGATCAATTATTTCTTAAGGAGAAGTGCAACCAGGATGTAGAGCAGAAATATCCTTCTCCCTACAGGACGATATTAAAATGTTCTCAGCAATGAAGAAATTTGAACTAGTTGATTGCACCAATGTTGAGGAGACACAGTCTCATAGAGATTAGTGGCAGTTTTTTTAATCTCCTAAGTACAGTAGGGTTTTATCTTCAAAACTGGCCTTACAAGTAGCTGTAGAGAGTTTCCTTGACCTAGTTAGGAGGTTGGAGTGCACTCAACTGAATCAAGCAGTGCATTGCTGCCCCTACATTCACCTATGCCCATAGCCTTGGGCTAAATGTAGCAAAGTTGACAAAGCCACCGAGCAACTGGACAAATGTAAGAAAACATTCTATTCTTGACAAGAAAAATTTGATCTGGTTCTCTCCAAGGACAAAGTCTAGGTTAATTCACCCTGTTTATGATTTGGATAATGCCTTCCATGTAAGATTTCAGAAGCATGTGTTTTGAAAGAGAAGAGTAACCTTGTGATTTCAATCTTTTTACATCCATTTGAAAGGTTTCCCACTTTCATATCTCTAGGTGTGCAGATGCACTGAAGGTAGGGGTATTAATGCTAGGACCCAGAGTGTAGGCAGTTCAAACTGCATTACTGAAGCTGGAAATGGGCAGCTCCAGAGCAAGCAGTTAGTGGCAGTGTTCATACTCTGCCAACCCTAACACCTTACTGTGTTAGCTGTAGCAATAATGGCTACCTCGTTATTTAAAACAAATAGTAAAACAGAAAAACACAAGCTTTTACAGGCTAGCTTTAATTTCTGTTATTGGGAAGGAATGTCCCACCAAGGTGAGCACCAGTTTTTATCCTTTGTCTTAAGGTCTCAGTTTCACCTCTGCTGTCTTGTTTTATTTGCAAGTGATTTGCAACATAATTTTGTCTCAAAGTATGGTGGAAGGATGCATCCAAGGATGCTGATGAAGAGTAAGATCATTACAAATGGTCTGAAACCACCATTCATATATTTTCCAAAAGGTGCTTCAAGAAACATTAATAAAAGAGGATTGCAAGTGGAGGTTTGGGTACCTGTCTTCTGTATGGAGAAGGATCTGAAGGGTAAGGTTTCAGAAGTGAGCAGTTAAATGGTTTTACAAAAGCAGTTTAGTTTAGTCTGAAATCAACCTAGTACAAAGAGTGCAAGTCCCACAAATGTGCACCATTATTCCAATAATGTCCCAGGCACGTTATAGGGCGGTGTCGGGCACATGTCACAGGGCGGTGGCAGGAGGTGTCGGGCACACATGATGGGGCGGTGTCGGGCACGTGTCACAGGGCGGTGGCGGCGCAGAGCCCCCGCGCGCCGCCCCCCGCCCAGCAGATGGCGCTCGCGCCACGCGCTCCCGCCTCAGCCGCGGTCCCGTCCCTCACAATCCTCACCGCGCTGCCCTCGGTCCCGTCCCTCACAATCCTCCCCGCGCTCCCCTCGGTCCCGTCCCTCACAATCCTCACCGCGCTCCCCTCGGTCCCGTCCCTCACAATCCTCACCGCGCTCCCCACGGTCCCGTCCCGCAGGATCCTCCCCGCGCTCCCTTCGTTTTCCCCATTGCTGCCTGCCGGTGTCCAGGCTGCTCCCGTTGGCCCGAGGGCCGCGGCCGCTCGCAGCGTGACCCGGCACGGTGTCTCCCGGTCAGACATCCGGCCCCCGCCGCGAAGGGCCGAGCTGAGCGCCCTGAGCCCCCGGGCTCCGCGACAGCCCCGCTGGACAGCATCGCTTAGGATGGTGGAGAGTTTCAGGCTTCGGAGTCAAGCTGATAAGGTCACTTCTATCCCCAAAACTCCCACTTTAATTGGAGCTATAGATGGGTTTTATTTTACCTCCAACCAATCTCCCTTGGGGGACAAAGAAATAGGATTTTCAGGATCCTTCCAATGCACACAAGAGTGAAGCAGACAGTTCCTTCAAGAAAGTGAAAGAGAAATAACAGTCCTCAAGTTGTACAGTCCCCTCTAGTCACAGGGATGCTCACGTGGAAATCCCAATAATTAGGATGACTCCTTGGGTGCCATCCTTGACTAGCTTGTTTTCCAGTCCCCTGTCCCTCTGTCTACTGGCTCTTTCTTACTGCTGGATGTCACTGTCCCACAGGTCCACAGCATGACCGATTACTTTCTTTTAAATTCCTCCATACTTCTTCCTATCCTGACCCCACGCCTCTGTAAGTATCTGCAGAGCTACCTCATTGTCCTCTGATCAAGGCCCTCTTTGTTTAAAGGCTCTTATTTTTCCAAATGATAAGTGGGAAATACGTAGGTGGTTCCTTGATGGTTCCTTGGGATGATTTGCCAGTCACACTGAATAGGATTTTCTTATTGTTTTCCGGCACTCTCCATGTCTCTGGATCTATTTGTGTTCTGTTGTCTAAAATTTGGGTTATAAACTCTTTGGAAGCACAATATTGCAAACATATCCCTGTTCCATGTTTGCATGCATTTTAGCTGTGGTCCCTGAGCAGCATTTTTGGGGCTACAGTAGTAAAAATAGCTGTTATCCATACCATGCTACCCAATACTGCAAATTTGTTCAATGCTTTTAATTATAAATTCCTATTCTGGTTATTTATAACTTTGTGAATTTTTATGTTGGGTGTCTGCCTATGTTTCAATTTTTTTTGGAAAGTTTCAGCAAAAATGGTTATACTGTTTCCCAGAAAAAAGATTATGAAAAAAAGACATTGTTTTGCCAATGTTAATGAATTGGTTGTAAGAATTCCTTTTTGGAAATGCTAGCTCCTCCTTGGAGGTTGGCAGACTGGAGGCCCCCTGGTGCCAGACACATAAGCACTTGCCCATATTTGGCCGAGTTTTAAACCCTATTCTTTAGTAATACGGTAGTGTTTGGCAGATAAATTCCTCAAAATTTCTTTCTGTCCTGAGCATGTGCTACCTTTTGCAGGCCAGCTGCATTATCTCCACAGAGTAATTTATGCCTTCTGCATTCTTACCAACCCAGGATTTCCTTGCAGATGCTTTTAAAAATTGCAGCAAGGCTTGTGACTGGTGCCTCCTGTGCCCACACGCTGCCAGGTCCATAGAGAGCAAGAAACTATCTCTCTTCAGTCCAGGTGAGAAAAGACCAAGATCTCAGATATATATCCAGGGAGGACCAAGAGCTTAAGCTGGAAAAGCATGGGAGCTGGTAGATTTTGTTGAAAAGAAAATAAAAGGATAAACTTGTTGGATAAGGAGACCATAATCTAAAATGAGTAAGAAGGAATGGGCTATATGAAAAACTGGTAAGACTGACAATACCAGAACAGAACAAAGACAAGAATGAAGAAACTTCTGCTGTCCACCTGAAAAGCCATAATGAAGGGTGAGTGCAAGGACATAGGTCACCTTTAGACACTGTTGGGATAAAAGGCCAGTTACAAAAGAAAGCAGAGCAGATGAGAAGTCAGTCTGGATGAAGAGATGTAGGGAGAGATGACTGAGCAGCCTAAGGAGAGGATTGGGAATAGCAGTTTGTGAGAACTGGTTGGAGGAAAGGAAAGATTGAAACAAGAACCCTAGGTGATGAAAAAAGTGGGTGGAAAGCAGATTCACTAGATACAGAACTAATTCGATGAGGCTAGGTGTAGAGCCAGGATCATGTACACAAAAGAAAATAATAATGAAATTGGAAGAAAAAGGAGAAACGGGAGACTGTGGATGGGAACAGAAAGTTTAGTGTTATGCTGAATAATGGTTGAGTATGGGACTTCCCATGCAGACAGAAGGAAAAAGAGACTTTTGATAAGAAAAGCTTTGTGATAAGAAAGGATTACAGGGAATAAAGCAAAAAAGGTCATGAATGTGTCAAGGGAGAAAAGAAAAACAAGAAAGGAAAGCCTTGTAAATTGGTACACATGATCTGTGACCATAAAGACTTGAAATTCACACCTAATTGCTGAGACTTGCTCTGTCTTCATGTAAAAAGTATCTGTGAAATTCACTTTCAGACTGCCTCTCACGCTCCCTTAGAAAGCTGGCCCACTCAGAAGGTGCCTGTCCAGTCTTACTTTCTCTGCGTAGAAATGTCAGCCCTGCCAATGGTCCATGCTATCAATAAGATTCCACATATCTTTTTTCTGGGAAACAGTATAACCATTTTTGCTGAAACATGCTATCAATAAGATTCCACATATAGGAATAGGGGAGAGGATTTTGCTGGCTTTTCAAAGAACCTTAAAAATTGCAAACAATATTCCCCCCTTCTTCATATAAAAAAAGCTTGCTGCAAGACAGCTTATTAGAGGCTAAGAAGCATCAAAATTACAGATACCAACTGTAATCTTAATTTAATGTGGTTCTGTGTAGCTGCTTGCAGAGTGGTTCTACTTGGAATTCACTTTCCTGCTTTCATTTTCTACATTTTCAACCAGATATAGATATGTACATAGAAATCATAAGGAACTTTGCACTGTAGATAATTAAAAAGAGAATAAGCAAGGAATAGGGTATTCTAAGTTGGAAGGGACCCATTAGGATCATTGAGTTCAGCTCCTGGTCCTGCACAGAACACCCCAAGAATTCACTTCTTGAAATCTGGCAGGCTTGATGCTGTGACCACTTCCCTGGGGAGCCTGTTTCAGTGCTCAGCCACTCTCTGGATGAAAAAAACTTCTCCTAATATCTAACTTAAACCTCCCTATGATATAACTTCATGCTGTTCCCTTGGGTCCTGTCACTGGTCATGAGAGTGAAGGCGTCAGTACTTGACCTTCACCTGATGAGGATGTCGAAGATCACAATGAGGTCTCCCCTCAGTCTTCTCTTCTCCAGGTTGAACAAAGTGACCTCAGCTTCCCCTGGTGAGGCTTCCCCTCAAGACCCTTCACCACCCTTGTGGCCCTTCTCAGGATGCTCTCCAATACTTTAATGTCTTTTTAATAATGTGGTGCCCAAAACTGCACCTAGGACACAAGGTGAGGCTGCCCCAGTGAAGAGCAAAGCAGGACAATCCCTCCCTTGCCCAACTGGACACAGCCCAGATGCTGTGTCTGATGCACTCCATGGTAGAACAATCTTACTAAGCACAAGTTTATACTGTCCATTATAGTGTGTGGCATTGTACCTGTGTTTGGAATTACTGTGACCATCTGTAAACATAAGGAAATCTTGGGAAAGTACCTGTGATAGTGGTCTGCAGCTCCAGTCTTTCATTTGGGAGAGGAGATTAACTGGGACCTATATAATTAGTATTCCCCAATTAACATATCCCATTGTTTCTGGCTTAGTTTTTGTGTCAAGACATTTATATGAAAGATTATGAAGGAATGTTGACTTTGGTGTATCCAATTCACTGATGACTTTCAGTTCCTACATCACTGTCATTTCTGACATAGATGATGAGTGATAGACCACTTTCGGAGCTTAAGCCTTGGCTGAGATCTCGCATCTCATGCCAGATAGGAGGAATTGAATAGGGAAGGCAACCAGAAGAGTTGGCAGAATTTATACCAGTGCTCCTCCTTGAGAAAGCATAGCTGACTCTTGTAGCATGGTGAAATACAGCATTCAGCATATTCCAGCTACACACCTGGACTCTCCAGGAGCAGCTCAGTCCAGAACCATTTTTTGTGGTCGTGTCAAGGCACATATGACTTTTTCTGCCAGATGCAAACCTGGCATCAATCATCAACTGCAACAATCATCAACATTTTGGCCACCCAAAAGGAGGTTGCTGTAATACTCCTCTGATGAGGAGTCATAAATATACTGAAGATTGTGAAGACTGCTGAGGCTTGAATGGAGCTATGTATTAAAAGCTTATGAATTAACTTCTGCTGAACCAGAGTGTAGGTTCACCCTTAACTGTGTTTCTCTGTACTCAGCAATTTTCTTGCTCTTCCTTTGCTTCTTCCATTTACAAACTTTTCACATGACCCTCTCAAGCCAAGGGACTCTACAGATTCCTGTCTGAGGGAGCAGGACATGCAAATGGATCTTCTTGCTGCTGAGATTTATGGACACAGAATTTTTTAATATTCTGAGATGTTTCATTCATGCCTTATAGACACATCTATTCACCTGCTGTTTGTGGACTACAGATCCCAAAAGAGATATTTTTGAATGGGAAAAGAAGGGATTTAGCCCAGGCTTTTCCATTAGCAAAGATATCAGATTCTTCATTACAGTGTAGGAAGAAATGCATCTGGCCTCTTACTGGATGTGAAAGCAAAACACACAGTCTCATCTTGCTCTGACTGACCTTCCTGAAAGATTGAGGATTCCTGGCCTAAAAGAGTCAGGAATGATCTGTGTTGTAGGGAGGTAAGCTTTGTGAGCAACTGTGTGACAGAAGGGAAATATAAGAAGCCTATAACTGTAATGCAGGAAAGTGGTGGATATGCAGACTAAGGGTTTCAAGTGCTGTGTAGAAACATGAACTGCAAACTCAGTTTGCTCAGCAGAAACTGAGTTTGCTTTTGCTTTGCCATATGGACCGAGTTAGAGCTTCAGCAAATCTCCCCAGTTTATCTTCTTTAAGTGTTCACAAGTACTCCCCAGCCTGCATATTTGTTTCTCACCAAAACATGGGCTCCATGCATGCCACAGCAGGGATAATGGCAGGAACCTGGAAGAAATATGCAGAACAGTAGGCTGAAAGAC